TGAGAATTACCAAAAGAGCAGGCTGGTTTCTGAAGAGGCAGAGTAACTATAGACCAAGTTACCAACATTCACTAGATTATAGAGAAAGCAAGGAAATGTCAGAAAAAGAAATATACTTCTTCATTAACTATACTATAAAATCTTTGACTGTGTGGATCACAACAAAATGTGGCAAGTCCTCAAAAGAGATGGGAATACCAGATTATCTTATTTGCCTCCTGAGGAACCTGTATGTAGGCCAAGAAGCAACTTTTAGAATCAAACATGGAACAACTGATTGGTTTAAGATTGGAAAAGGTATACAACAAGACTGTATATTGTCACCTTATTTAATTAACTTATATGCAGAGTACATCATGCAAAATGCCAAACTGGATGCATCAAAAGCTATAATTAAGGTAACTGGGAGAAATATCAACAATCTCAGATACCACTCTGACAGCATAGATAGAAAGTGAAGATGCATTAAGAAGCCACATGATGAGGGTGAAAGAGAGGAGTGTAAAAGCTGGCTTGAAGCTTAACATTAAAATAAATAATAAAAAAAAAAACTAAGACTATGGCAACTGGTCCCATCGTTGCCTGGCAAATAGAGGGAGAAGAAATGTAAGCAGTGTCAGATTTTATATTCTTGGGCTCAAACATCACTGCAGATGGTGACTGTAGCCATGAAATTAAAAGATGCTTGCTCCTTGGAAAGAAAGCTATTTCAAATCTGGACAGCACACTAAAAAGCAGAGACATCTGTCTCCTCGTCAAAAGAAGTCTGTATAGTCAAAGCCATAGCTTTTCTGCAGCAATGTATGGCTATAAGAGTTAGACCATAAAGAAAGCAGAGTGTCATAGAACTGAAGTTTTCAAAGTGTGGTGCTGGAGAAGACTTTTGAGAGTCCCTTGGACAGCAGGAAGGTCAAAATAGTCAATACTCAAATAAATTAATTCAAACTATTTATCCACTGGAAGGTCAAATACTGAAGCTGAAGTTTAAATACCTTGGCCACATAATGAGAAGATGGGACTCACTGGAAAAGACTCTGATGTTGGGAAAGATTGAAGGCAAAAGCAAGAAGGGACAGCAGAATATTTATAACAGCTTTATATGTGGTAGCAAAGAATTGGAAATTGAGGGGATGCTCATCAATTGAGGAATGGCTGAACAAGTTGCGGCATATGAATATACGGAATATCATTGCGCTATAAGAAATGATGAGCAACTGGACTTCAGAAAAACCTGGAAAGACTTGTATGGACTGATGCTGAGTGAAGTAAGCAGAACCAGGAGAACATTGTACACAGTAACAGCCACCTTGTGTGATGACTAACATTGATAGACTTAGCTCTTCTCAGCAATGCAAGGATCTAAGACATCCCCAAAAGTCTTGTGATGGAAAATGCTATCCACGTCCAGAGAAAGAACTATGGAGTGTGAATGCAGATTAAAGCATACTATTTGCTCTTCTTTTTTCTTTTATTTTGTTTTGTTTCTTCTTTCTTGTGGTTCCTCCTATTGGTTCTAATTCTTCTTACAACATAACTAATGTGAAAATATGTTTAATAGGAATGTATATATAGAGCCAACTCAGATGGCATGCTGTCTTGGGGTAGGAGGCGGAGAAAAATCTAAAACTCAAAAGCTTATGGAAGTGAATGTTGAAAACTAGAAATTAATAAAAAAAATTAAAAATTAAAAAAAGAAGGGACAGTAGAGGATGAGATGGATAGATAGTTTCATGGAAACAGTGAACATGAACTTGGACAGACTTCAAAAGATAGTGAAGGATAGAAGGCCTGGTGTGTTATTTTTTTGGAGGGGGGGGAAGGCAGCTGGGGTTAAGTGACTTGCCCAGAATCACACAGCCAGTAAGTGTTATGTGTCTGAGGCTCGATTTGAACTTAGATCCTCCTGACTGCAGGGAGTGTGCTCTATCTACTGTGCCACCTAGCTACCCCTGGCCTGGTGTGTTATGAGCCATGGGGCCATAAATAGCTGGATACTACTAAACAACAAGATGTCGCTGTGTATTTTGCTTTCTTGATTCTGCTTACTTTACTCTGCATCCGTTCATATATATCTTTTGATGATTCTCTGTATTCATCACACACATCATTTCATATAGTATGATTATATTCCATTACATTCATGCAGGAATTTGTTTAGCCTTTCCCCAGTTGATGGGCATAAAAAAAAAGGAACAAAATCTGACAACATTCATATATCAAAAAACCCCAATAATACAACATTTTAGATTCAGAAACAAACAGGATAGTTAATATTATATTTTAATTATGTTATATTACTATTCATTCTGTTAAAGTTAATATATAACAATATTTTTTTTCACAAACCGAAGCTTGGAATTTGTGGCTTTAAGTATGATTTTATTTTGTTAGAATGTTTTTGTGGTTATCTACCTTAGAAGAAAAAAATTAAACAAGGCATATCTCATTTTAAGAATGATCTATTTCTGGGGCAGCTAGGTGGCGCAGTGGATAGAGCACCAGCCCTAAAGTCAAAGGACCCGAGTTCAAATCCAGTCTCAGACCAAACACTTGACACACTTAGCATAGCTGTGTGACCCTGCCCAAATCACTTAATCCCAATTGCCTAAAAAAACCAGACACACACAAAAAATGATATATTCCTGAAGAACTGTGGAAACCATATTTTCGTAACCTAAATAATTATAAGTAGAAACCCTTTGCTGACTATTTTTTTAAAAATCACCCTCTAATTGACTTTATATTGAAAATCCATCTTTTTCACATATTGGGTGGCTTAAATAACATTTCATATATGTACTTTTCCTATCTATTATCACATTCAATCTTGCTAACACCCTTGTGACATAAGAACTAGTTATCATTATTCACATTTTATGGATTATGAAACCCATGGCCCAGAAAAAAATTAAGTGGTATGCTGAAGGTTACCTCATTAACTTATAGAAAAGGAACTTGACAACTTCTTCATTTGGTTCTCTTTCCGATATATCAGATTTTTAATGTCTAAACAAAACTATCGCAGTATAATTGATTTGTATGTTATAAAAAGCAGTCGGGAAATCAACAAATAGGATGTGCTAGATACCGAGTACACAAAGAAAAGCGAAAACAGTCCCTGCCTTCAAGGAGGTCACATTTTAACAAAATCCCCACCCCACTCCCTCGAAGGATCACAGGAGGCTGACAACTGGCCCATAGAGAGAAACATGAAAAATGGTAAAAGGAACAGGGATAAGGCCAGGAAGCTAAAGAAAAGTGGGAGAAGGAAAAGGTTAGAGGACGATAAGAGTAAAGCAGAGCAATATCAGCCTGAGAGAAGGGGAAAAGAGAAAAGCAGGAAGAAAAATAGTTAAAACACTACCCCAGCCCAGATATTACTTCCAAGGGTCTCCCAAACCGAATTTTGATTGCTGCTTGACCTAGACCTCTTGGGAAGAGGAGTCGAAAATATGTGAAAATTTTATCCTCTACCTAGTCCATACTATTCTGTATGTGCAGAATCCCTAATTGCCATGCCCTCCTGTATTATTCTTGGACCAATAGGAGCCATGCTGCTAAAAAACAAACACACACACACAACTTTGAACACTACGTGCAATTACATATAACGTTATTTTAAGACCTAGGATTTATGTAGTCCTTGTTGCCCAGTTAGTCAAAGCCCTGCTGTTTGGGTTGGGTAATATTACATCTCCCATCTCCCTACTTTTTTCACAGACGATATCTCCCTCTTCCCCCTCTCCCCCCCCCCATATCTACGATGTAGTCTTGGCTCATCCGAAACTCATAGAATCCCTGGATTCTTTTAAAACTTAATCCTTGTTTGCCCAGTTACTAGCGTCTTTGGATTTATTTTTCTGCAGAATTATAATACCAGATCACGCATACCAGAGCTTAACAGATGCTTGTTCTGGAGTCAGAGTTGAAATCCCACCTCGACACCCACTACTATGTATCTATCCTTGGGCACATCATTTACACTCCTTGGACCTCGGTTTCCTCCTCTGGAAAAAGATGGTGTTGAACTGAAGGCGTCTGACGTCCCTTCCAACTTTAGCTCTGTGATCTTATGAATGAAAAGTTTCACAACTGTCTCTTCACACCACACCCAGGCTAATAAGGTCAAGCAGTTATTATTAGCTACTCTTCCCTGAATGGGTTAAGGAACACATCACATTCAAGATAACGAGGAATTAAAACAGTTCAGCTGCCCCTTTCAAAAAGACACACCCCACCCACTCCTTCTACGTCTGACAACAAATCCTGTAAAATGAAGGGGGTTAGTCTGGGGTTCTTATTTATGATTCCGCAAATACAGTTCAAATGGCCAAGTCTTTTTATTCAAGAAAGATTTATTAAGCTCCTACTAAACGCCAGGCACCGCGCTAAGCTCGGGGGATGCAACCTGACAAAACAGTCCCAGCCCTCAAGGAGTTTACAATCTATAGCCTGAGGGAAATTTGGGGGGGGGGAGAGAACAAGATAACACACATACACAACTAGCTACAGCTAGCTACAGGATAAATAGAAAACGATTAAGAATTGGAAAGGAATGGAATTAAAGGGGCTGAGAAAGTCTCCCCGTAGGAGGTGGGATTTTAGTTGGTATTTAAAAGAAGCCAGGAGCTTCCCTGAACTCCACAATCCCGGGGTAAAGCTCCATGGATTCTCTGTTGTCACAATGTTAAAAATTAGCACGTGTCTAAGGCTGAAGAAAAAAGGGAGAGGCGTCATATAAAGAGGGGCAGGAAGGGACCGCCTTCTTCATCCCCAGTATCCAATCCTTTCCCCCCAAACAAAGAGCCCTCGACAGCTGATTGGCTAAGAATAGGAATGACAAGCGAGGGCGGGGCCCGGAGAGACTTCCGTCACATGTGGCCTGCCCTGGCGGTCCTGCGTAGTCGCAGTGCCCTTCCGAGCCACTCGCGAGTTTGGGGTGGGGAGGAGGAGCCCGGAGGGGGGCGGGGGCGCTGGCACTCCTGGTGGAGCGCTTGCGTTGTGGGTGCTCGGGGGGGGGGGGGAGCTGCTGCCTCCTCCTCTGTCTGTGCGGCTACAGCCATAGCGTTCGAGAGTAGATTTCAGAATCCCCCGGAGTTGTAACAATGAAGCAGAGTTCGAACGTGCCGGCTTTTCTCAGTAAGCTGTGGACGCTGGTGGAGGAGGCCCACACCAACGAGTTCATCACCTGGAGCCAGGTACTGCAGCCGGCGGCCTCCGACTTCCTCTGTTTCCCTTCCCTAATGCACCGCCTTCCCCCGCCCCCGATCGCCTGCCGGGGCCTGCCGGGGCTGGGGTGGGGAGGCATGTCGTATCACCCATGCCCCTCTACCTCCACCGTATCCTTCCGGGCGCTCCCCGGAGACGGGTCCCCCCTCCCTCCTTTTGATCTCCCCAGTATTGTTCTCCCTGGCGGCCCCGGGAGAACGTGCGTTGAGAGTCCGGAACGCTGCTCCGGCTTACCCGCGCAGCGGCCTCCTCTGCCCACCAGCCCCGGGGAGGGGAAGGCAAGGAGGGGGCCGCGGCTCCCGGAGCTGGGCACGCACCTGCTGCCTGCCGGGCCCGGTCAGCTGCGAGGGCAGCACCGCTCTCTCTGGCTAGCCTTGAGGGTGGTGGGCTATAGGGTGGGAGGGGGGTGGCACACACAGACCACCATTGCCGAGCCCCGCGAGGGAAGGCGGGTGTCAAGAGCGGTGCTCTCTGCTGCGTGCTCCTCCAGCCTCCGGTTCCTGGGGTGGGAGGTGGGGGGGAGGAGGCGGGCCCAGATTCCCGGCTTCTGCGGTTTTCCTTCAGCTGAGATCTTGCACACTGCCATCTTTCCAAAGAAGTCCAACGGTACACGCCCCTTTCTCATTAAAAAAAAAGCGTTTGCATCCAGGATGGTTATGAAGATCGGGGTGGAGGGAGTTGGGGTGGAGAGTAGGCAAGTATGCAGATCCTAATCGCAGCATGATAATTGATTGTAAAAATCAAATTGTTAGCCAGAAAAAGGAAAATTAACTCGAGATTTGGGACCACTGAACAGGTTGTGTGCGTGAGTGTGTGTATGTGTTTTAATGATTCCTAGCTTTATCATGGTAGGCAGTAATTAAGCAATGGACTAGAACAGATGAGGAAATTTCATAAATCAGTGACCCAGCAGAGTGATGTAATGGAAAGAGCCACCCTGGGCAGAGAATTGAGAGACCTAGACTTCCCCAAGGTCACACAGATAGTAAGTATTGGAGTCAGGATTTGAACCCATGTCCTCTAACCGTGTGCTCTGTCCCCTGCCGGCCTTTAATTGGTTCGATTACTTTAGGCAAATCACTTAACCTTCTGTGGCCTCAGTTTTCTCATCAGGGAAATAGAAGTTTTGACTAGCTGGTCTCCGGGATCCCTTCCAGTTTGAATGAAGCTTTGTATTATGAAAAGGAGGGACAGGGTTTGTAAGTTGCTGACACTATTAATTTTGAGTGACCCCGTTTAGCCTCTTCAAGCCTTGGTTTTCTGAGCTTATAAAATGGAATCATTACTTATGTTGTGAGACTTAAATGAAGGGGAGAAAGGAATATGCATTTATATGGTATACTGGCTGCTAGGTACTGTGAAGAGCTTTACAAATGTTTTCTCTGCTCCTCACAGCAACTCTTCAGAGGTGCAGTTGCTATTTTCCTTATTTTACAGTGGAGGAAACTGAGGCAAACAGAGTTTAAGTAACTTGCCCAAAGTCATGTAGCTAGGATTTAAACTCAGGTCTTCTGACTCCAGGCACAGTACCATCTATTTCAGCACTTAGCTACATCTAATGAGTTAATATATGTAAAGTATTTTGCAAACCTTAAAACCTACATAAATAGTTTAGCTCATTAATCCTGTGCCAACTAAATGCAGACATTGAGGCCATTGCTAAATTGTGAAAGGGAAATGAGTACCATATCATCTTCAAGATGTCGTTAAAATACACATGCATCGTCTGTATTAGATGTAATTCCTCAGTGGAAGGGATAAGTCTCTGTTTTGATGCATCTGTTTATCCTATTCAAATATAATGTTACCTTTCATAGAGATCATAAATTTGAAGATGGAAGAAACCTTGGAAGTTATCCTGTCATTTCTCCCCCTCCCCTTTACATTTTACAGGTGGGGAGACTGAAGCCTAATTTAAATGTCTTGCTCAAAGTCACAGAGATGATAAGTGCCAGAGGCAGGATTCCAATCCAGGACTTTTGACTGCAGATCCACTGCTCTCTCTCCATTGTCCCAAAATGCCTCTATAGCCTCTTAGCACTTTGTTCTTATTCCTCCTGTACACTTAGGTTCTCTTTTACATTGAAGTTATTCATCTCTGTATCTTACTAGATTGTAAGATCTTTAAGATGAGACTGACTTTTTTGTATTTTCCCCCAGCACAAGGAAAAATCTGTGTTTAAATATTTGTTGTAGTGCTGAATAGTTTATAGTCCTTAAAGGTCATCATAGAATGCTAAATAAACAAATCCTTTCAGAGCCATTATTTTATGTTGTTATATTAAGTCCTGTGATTGTTTTCTGTGAAGGAATAGTCAGTTTAAATTGGGGTGGAGAAGAATGATAGGATCAGCATTTTGGAGCTAGAAGTGAACCTTAAAGATCTTGTAGTCCACTTTGTTTATTTTGCAGATGAATAAACTGAAGCCCTGAAAGGTTGAGTGACTTAACATGGTATGATGTAGAACTGGAAGAATTTTAGAGGTCATCTAGTCCAACCCCTTCATCTTAAAACTAGGAAATTAAGGCCAAAATAAGTTAGTCAATTAAGTGATTTGCCCACAGTTTCACAATTATTAAATAGGAGAGGACAGATTTTAATCCAGGTCCTATAATTCCATATCTAATGCTTTTGCTACAAAAATGCCACTTGCCCCATGTTACATGATTAGGTATAGGTGGAACTAGAATCTAGGTCTCTGTGTTTAGTGTAGTGCCCTTTCCATTATACTATACTAGGTAGAAGTTTAGTACCATTCAAGCTACCAATGTTGAATTGATATTGATCTATCACTTTGACTAGTCTGGAACTGATGCTGTTGTTTGGAAGAATAGTAGCCAAGACCAAGAAAAGGGAACAGTATGTGCTAGTGGTTGGACAGAGATCCAGAATTTAATTCAATCCAATAAACATTTATTAAGGGCATACTGTAGGCTATACACTGGAGGTATGAGGACAAAAATGAAACTGTCCCAGTCCCAACATACTTTCTTTCTGTGGGGAACAACAGGTACATAAATAAGTAAATACAACATTTATCCATAGTGATTTTGGGTGGTGGGGAGAATCTACAACTGAGGAAATTGGGAAAGAAGGCTTATAAGAAGTGGCACTTAAGCTGAACCATGAAGGGAACTAGATTCCCTAGTAAATTCTTTATTTTCTTCATCTCTGGTAGGTGTTGTTTCTTTGTATCCCCTGCAAACCTACCTTAATGCTTTTCACATAATAGACTCTCAGTATCTGTTTAGTGACTAAGTGACCTGGGGTCAGTAAAAAATCTAAAGGCCATTTCTTTGACCTCTCTTCAATATTCCACAAAATCCTTGACTCATCTCTGGGTTTTTATGATATTATTCTCTTAGTTCTCCTGCCTGTGGCCCTCTTTATTATCCTTTGTTAGATTATCATTCATGTACCACCCCTCAACTGTAGGTGTACTTAGAGAAAGGCTCTGTCCCTTGCCTTCTGTCTTTCTCTACTTCTTTCTCTGTGATCTTAGTAGACACCATTGATTCATTTAGCATTTCTCTTTATCATTCTACAGTCTTTTAAGTGCCTCTGTTAGGTTTTGGATCCATACATTTCATCCTGGCCTATTGGATGTTATTTACTTTGTGCGTCATAATCATCTCAAACTCAACATGTCCGAAATTGAATTTATTATTATAAAGCACTTAGCATAGAGCCTGCACAAAATCAGTGATTTATAAATGCTTGTTTCAGTCTTTTTTCTCTAAACTTCTCCCTTTTATGTTCAGGGCATTACTACTTCTAGTCACCCATGTTTACAGTATAGGAGTTATCCCAGACTTAACTTTCCCTCACCTAGCCAATTACTTGCCAAGTCTCGTTACTTTTACCTTTACATTTCTTGAATCCATTCCCTTCTTTCCACTCCTCTAAGACCACCACTCTAATTCAGGTATCCCTCAATTAGACAAAGTTTCCTAATTGATTTCCCAGCCTCAGTTTTTTTGCCTCTTCAATCAATAGCTACCAAAGTGATAGTCTGGGAGGCTGTGTGGTACAGTGGAAAGAATATTGGATTTGAAGTAAGAGGACCTGGTTTCAAATACTAGCTTTCTTACTGATTAACTGTGAGATTTTTGGCAAATGATTTTACGTTTGTGGGCCTCTTCTGTAAAGTGAAGAGTTTGTAGGACTAGATAGCCTTCATAGACCATTCCAGCTCTAAGTTTGTGATCCTATGACCATGTTACTCTGCTGTTCCAAAAGCACTAGTGGCTTCTTGCTACCTCTACAATAAAATAAAAGTTTTTCTGTTTACCTTTTATTAACACTTAATCTGACACTAGCCCTGTTTTCCTGGCTTATTTGTACATTACTCCTCTTCACATATTCTGTAGCCCAGTACAGATCCTTACCTTCTATCTTCCCTATCTTTGCATAGGTTGTCACTGTTTGGAATACACTGTCTTCTTTCTTGACTGTTAGAATCCCTAGCATTTTCAAAACTCAGTTCAAGTGTGCCTCCTATACTGTGTGACTGAATCCTTCCCTGACTACTCTTCTTCAACCCTCTCTCCCTCCCCCCACCAGCTGTTTATGCCCCTCCCTCCAACACTAATTACCTTGAGAATTTACTTTGTACTTATTTTTCTTTTGTGTCCTTTCCTTCTGTGGAAAGTAACCTCCTTGAGGACTAGCATTTTAAGTTGTTTTCTTTTTACTTCTGATCTTTGTATCCTCTGTGGTAGCAGTACAAAGTAGGGCCTTGATAAATGCTCATAAAAAGCATACAGTTTAGTCTCTGTCCAATTTTTTTTTGCTGACAAAATGGGTATAAGGATGACTGTCCTTACCTACCTCTTAAGAACACAGAATTCTTTACAGCAGCAAATTATATTATGATCTCTTCATCTTAAAGATGAGGAAACAGAGATTATGTGAACCTCTTAAGGTTATATGGTATTAGAACTAGAGAAAGAAGTGCATTTACCATCC